TGTGTGTGTGTGTGTGTGTGTGCGTGTGTGTGTGTGTGTGAGTGTGTCTGTCCACTTGTTCCAACTCGGCAACCAAGCAATCTCCGGGGCCAAGATTTTACCAGTGGGGCCCAGGACCGCAGTATCAACCTTTACACAAGTTTGGGCCCCGCGTACGAGAGGGTGAAAGTCTTTATGAGGAAATCGCTAACTCGGGGACCAGAAAAGCCGGAAAGCTGGAATTCTGGGATTATGTTCCCCACCCACATAGAATTCATAAATTTCAAATTTAGCGCCCAGGTGTGCGTGGTTTCCGCGAACGGCCCCGTTAGGGTTTCTGGCAGGAAAATCACTAACTTGGGGACCAGGAAAGCTGGGTGGTTGAAATTTTAAGGCGATGTCCCCAGCCTATGTACAACTTAAAATTATTAGATTCAGCTCCCAGGCATGCGTGATTCTCGCGTACGACCCCGTGAAATTTTTTGGGAGGAAAATGGGTAACTTGGAAACCAGGAAAGCTAGGAAACTGGGATTTTATAGAGATACTTCCAGCCTACGTACAACTGAAAGATTTCAAACTCAGCCCCCAAGTATGCCCCGTGAAAGTTTTGGCTGGAAAATTGCTAATAAGAGAGCCAAAAAAGTTGGAAAGTTGGAATTTTAACGGAATGTTTACTGTCCAAATACCACATAGTTATACAATTAACTTCCCGAAATTCGAGGTCCAGTATGTCACAAATTCTAGCCGCTGGTTTTCCGACTGATCCTACTACAGCACGAAATAGTGCAAAAGCGCGTGATCGCAGGTGTTCGCCTTGTGCGCGTCGCAGATGATTTTCATTTCGCCTGACCAACGAATAAAAAAAGTTGCATATTTTCCACCAAATTAATGCAGCTACTTGCTTTTGCATTTACTTTCTAAGCAGATAGGATCTGGCATCACAAGCAGCGAAACTTACAATGGCATTATTTTTGCTTGAATGCCTTTTGCAATCGCTGAACTGGGGATTTTCGCCAGTTTTTTTTTTTCTTAAAAAATCACTGCTTTGACTTTATTTTATTTTTTTTATTTCGACAACTAAAGGTAGCTAGCAGGACAATCGACAAAAAGAAGATCTGCAAAATTAAACTTTCAGGAAAATGACACTACAGAAAAGTGCTAGAATAGTTGATAAGTTTAATTTCACAGAATTCTAAATATTTCTTGAAAAAGAGAGAGCGTGGAGTCTCAATTTAAAAAGTCCGTGAATCTGCTTCAGTCGTCATTACCTGTAGAAATAAGGGATTGCGGACGCTGCGATCTAGCAGTCAAAGCTATCTGTCTCCTCTGCTTTAATTAGACAATCGGATTCCGCGAGTCCCTGGCAGTTCTAAGCTGACTGTTTAGCGCCGGCCGAAGTATCAACATCGCATGGGACGGTGTGATACGCAGGTGTACCGGTCAATAAGACAGTTCGAACACTAGCAGAGCTTCATAAACTAGGCTTACTGTTTGAAGATTTGGCTTGTGAGTTGCAAAACTGAGGTTGCCAGATGTCGAGTTCAAAATTCAGGCTTTTGTAATGAGCTTGAACGAAAATTTTCATGTTACACTTTTACAGCGGTTTTCTGCATTCTTTCGGCGCAGAATGAGAGAAGGAACAATTTCCTTCCCCCTTGATGTGTCGCTGTCTGAGGTCTTGGTATTAGCAGTCAGTCTTCAAAAGTTTCCTTACTCCCCCTTTTTTTGGCGCAATTTCATATTGATTTCATTTCGAAGTTGCTCAACCAAATTATTCATATATTTCAGAGCTTACTCTCAAAAATTCGGGCAAGTGAAAAGAAGCGACTGGAATGTGAAGCGCAGCAGGAAGACGATGCCCGTAACCCGGGTAGCAGTAACTCGGCGATTGCGAAAATGAACAGTATTGTCAAGTGCCATGCGAACACTAATTCCCCTATTGTACATATCGACGCGAATTCTTCACCACCTTCTTGTACCGATTTAGCCGAATTGTCGCAGTGCTCAGGAAGAACTACTGCGGCCGGGAGGGATTTCGAAAAGCAAAAAGGTGACTTCACCACAGCAGCTAGCACATGCACCATAAGCGCGGTTGCTGCAGCTGCTATTACCGCCCCACTCTGCTTGCATTTAGCAAAACATTCAGTAATTCGTGCAAACCTTCTTAGTCCACTCTCATTCGATGATTTAAACTATTCCACTAAGCCGATACTCAAACTTTTTAGTAAAGCTAATGCTAATCAGTTGCTCTAAATATGAATTGCTGTGTTTGCCTGAATATTTTTAATTTGACGTGAATCACTGGAAAATTTCAGGCAGTTGCAGCTCGTAACATATTTGTTGTTTGATGAGGGTTATTGAAACGAATTAGACCTTTAAATCGCACCAAGAATTTTCGCGCGTGTTTGCATGTTCAATTAATGAAACATTCCTTGGCATGACCATGTTTACACCACTTTTACGCTTCTTGTATGCATTT